GAGGACAGACTGAGAGAGTTGGGGCTGTTCAGTCTGGAGAAGAGAAGGCTCCGAGGGGACCTTACGGTGGCCTTCCAGTATCTTAAGGGGTTCTCCAGGAAAGCTGGTGAAGGACTTTTGAGGATGTTGGGTAGTGATAGGACTAGGGGGAAGGGAGCAAAACTAGAAGTAGGTAGATAAAGATTAGACATTAGGAGGAAGTTCTTCACCATGAGGGTGGTGAGACACTGGAACAGGTTGCCCAGAGAGGTGGTGGATGTGCCATCCCTGGAAGTTTTAAGGCCAGGCTGGATGGAGCTCTGAGTAACCTGATCTAGTGGGAGATGTCCCTGCCTATAGCAGGGGGATTGGAACTACATGATCTTTCAGGTCCCTTCCAACCCTGATAATTCTATGATTCTATTAATGACACTGGCAAAAGAACGGGTATTCCTATGTTCTCCCAAAACCAGACTTTTTGGATATTGGCTGAGAGCAGGATCAGTCATCCCAGTCAACATTTTGAGGAGCAACTGGCAGTCCTAGGGCCTAGCTATAGGTAAGTTACTATCACTGCAGGATTGCCAGTTTCTCTTCCCTCCTTCCTTTAACTATTTCAGTCAATACAACACAATTTTGTTACCCTTATTTACACTGCTGGAAAAATCCATAATGACAGCCAAGATTTCAGTGCAGAGCATACTGTGTAAATGTGGCAGAGAGAAGGAAGAAAACTTTTAAGCAGACACTTGTGTCACAAAGTCCTTTTTCACTGTCCATTTCCTGAATACATTTTTTTTTTTTAACTAGTATCTAAAATTTTAAAGATCAAATTAATCAGGTATATTACTTAGTTTCCTACAGCAGTGTGATTCAACAGCAGTGATAGAATTTTGAGCTTTAGACAAAGCTTACTGAAATACCATACTGGAAAACTCAGCATTTGGCAAAGTTATATTACCAGTTTGTTTTGAAGAACATAACTCAACACATAGTGTAAACAGGTCAGAAGACACTTGTCAAAGAAGTTTTATTTCCATTGATTTCTAGAGTATATTAGCAGCAGGGCTTTGTGGTAGTTTGTTGTTTTTTTTTGTTTTGTTTTGTTGGGTTTTTTTTTTGTAGTTTTGAGGGGTTGGTTTATTTTTAATTAGTAGTATTTGTTGGTTTGGGTGTGGGGGGGTTGTGTTTGATTTTTGGTGGCTTTTTTTTTTTTTAAGTTTCCTCTAGAACTTCTTAAACTTTTTTTCAGCAATTCTAAAAAATCATTTAATATCACAAGCACGAAAAGGACACAGATGTGCCTGAAACTCAAAAGTTGGTATGTTTGGGATCCTATCGTGTTTTTGAAATCCTTCTGGAGTCCTTTGGGAGAAAAATATAGGGGGGTATGAGAATTTGGATTAATAAAACAAGCAGCACTAAAAAATTCCAGGTTTTTGAAATAACCTACAGTTATCAAGAAGAGAAGGAAAACATTTCATTTTTTAAGAGAATTTTGGAAAAATCTTGGGCCTTTTTTTATAAAGTTAGAAAACATTACACAACTATTAAAAGTGCTAGTGCTAGACAGGTCTTAGTATCCTAAATAAAGTATGTCTTCCAAAAGTAGTGTTGAGTCAGAAAACACATATTGAATATTGAGACAGTTATCAAATTCGAGAAGTAGATGACAAACTATTATTTGGGAAAGGTAGCACTTCAACTGTTTATGAAAATAGCGTTAAGTATTATCTATACAGTGTCCATACCTGTGTAAGAGTGCAAAGAGGAGGAAGAACACTGTCTCTTATCTAACAGCAACTATATTCATCTAATGTCCTTGGTCTGCATCATCAGTTCTCCTGGAAATGCAGGTGGGAGGAAGAAAAGGTTAGGAAAGCAGGCAAAAATATAAAATCAACCTCATTTGTGTACGCAGACAAGTAAAAGGCAGAACACACCATCCAGATTGCAGTGAGCGTGACTGGGCTCATGGCACAGTCCTCAGGACAGCGTGGCTAGATCAAAGGAAACAGCATAAGCCTGAGTAGGCAGAAAAGGAAACACCAGAAGTACCTGTACAGTACTTTCCAAGATGTGAATTGATACACATTGCCTAATGTATTTATGATGGTGCTTCACTGCTGGAAGAGCATTTTTTGTTCCTATTCACCATGTTCATCAGATTCTGGATTTTCATTAAGAGGAAAAGCAGTAACTAATAGCGGCACTGACACAAAGGCTTTGTCACAGTGACAGAGTATGTTGTATACCTGCCAACACCTGTAAAGTGTTAGCTGTTACAAAAAGCATCCATTTCAAAAACACTGTTAAAAGCACAGCTCAGTACACAAATGGGATCACAATTTTTCTGCACTTTGGGTAGTCTTCAAATTTCTCAAGGTACCATCTGAAAAACAAAGACAAACCTGATGAGTATAGAGACTTCAAAATGCTGTTGAGGAAATTATATAATTGCACAATGTGTTCAATTTAATCCATGTATTTTCTGGCTAAAAAAAAAAAAATAAAGCCTACTTTATTCCTCAAAAACCCTCTTCCCCATGAGAATGAGAAAAATTCTCTTCCAGTTCTTTGCCAGAGAAGTGCCAAAACCCCCACCCTTGGAGACGCTCAGGACTCAACCAGATGAGGCCTTGTGGTTAGCCCTGGTTGGAGCAGGTTACACCAGATGATTGGACAACCTTCAGATGCTCCTCCCAACCTAAGAAATTCTGCAACCTTGTTGAGTAATAGCTGGTGGTAAAACAAGGAGAGATGGTCACAGGTGACAGGCTTGAAACTTTCAGGTTAGGTAACAGGCAAACCTTTTTCACTGGGAGGGTAATACAGACCTGGAGCATGTAGCCGATCGGTACAGCTCTGTAAGGGAGGGCCTGGTAAAATCACGGCTCCGGCCTGCCACTCAGGCTAAGCGGAGAAGGGCTCTGGGAGAGCGACTCAGCTAGAATAGAGGAGGCGAGGCATGCTCCGTGTTTGCACCGGGGTGGTTGGTGGTTGGTTAAAGTATGTTTGTTGTGCTTAAAAAGTATGTAAACTAATGGTCGACTAATGGCATAAAAAGGCTGGGTTTTTTGTAAATAAAGGTCCTCCTTTGCACCTGCCTGGGGACTCCATGTTGCTTCATGCCACCCACACTGACACAGGAGTGCTCTACAAACAAGGTGCAGGAAAATGTCAGTTTCTGGAAGTTTTCAAGACTCCACTGGACACAGCCATGGTTGCCCTGACAGCTTGTTAGCAATGGCATATTTTCAACCTATTTCCTCCATTAATTCATATTTATTTCCTCTTATGCCACTAAGTTTCTGCCTAAGAACCAAAGCAGAAAGCTGTAAATAACCCAAATATAATGAAGATGTTCACATTCTTTTAAATATGCTATTCCTTAAAGAGACTCTTTTCAGGACATAAATCTTCTCAAACTATGATCCTTCCGTTAGCAGGAAAGCCACATTATGAATACAGTACATTAGCAGTTGGACTGTTGAAATAGAGCTTTATTAAATATCTACCAGAACGGTTTTCATATTTTCATATTATCTGTACACTTGATTATAGACAATACAATATAGACTTGACTATAAAATATGCCTGTTGCAGAAGACTTTAGAGTGATTTTCAAAAGTTCAATAATATAGAAACAAGTTCAAGCTGCAAAGGAAAGTATAGTGTACGATCAATTAGGACAATTTTCCCAAAACCTGTCTATAATCTTTACAGATCCAGGATGAACTATGTTAATTTAAATGTTATCTTGACCACCTCATTGTACACTGTGTGTTTTTTATGCTCAGTGCTATCCTGTTGAAAATCTCCAGTGCCTAATACTACTCAGTATTCTCTATCATATTCTCCACAGCAATAGCACAGTCTTTCACAAGACTTGCTCTGCAATATCCCTGTGTGACAAGGCATAATTTGTGAAATTGAAATGAATCATGGCATAGAGACAACAGAAATTATAAGACACAAACACACTTACTGGTGGTGTTGTTTTGCCCTTGAACCCAAGATGAAAAGTGTACACAATGCAAATGCAAGGCTTTCAATGGTGCAGCAGGCAAGGGCAAACCCAAACCATTCCAGGATTTCTCCAAAAAAGTTGGCTCCACTTACATACTCAAACATTCCTCCTGAAAGCAGGACAGAGTTATTTTAAAAGCACTTTAAATCAAGGAGATGTTCAGTGCTATCTTTTACTGTAAGTCAAATAAGAGCTGTGTCACTAATGTCTCAATATTATTTTTAAAGGCAGTGTAGGCAAGTGTTTTTCAGGTCAAGCTATAGTATGAAGGATGGCTTCAGACCTCATTCTAAGACAGACCTTCTCTATCTCTATTTTTCCTCTCCTTAAATCATGAAAGCAGACTTACCAGCATCAGAAGCAAGTTCATGCCTCTCTAAATAATTACTTAATGATATTAAACTGGCATTTTGATCATAAACTAAATATTTTTTAAAATGTGTAAAAATAGAGAATATGCTCCCCTTGAAGAGTCCCAGAAAATACTCATAGGCTCAGTAAGCATACAAGGTTTATTTTCTTTAAGTACTTCATTAATTAAATTACTTATGAGCAATATTACTATTATGAATTAAAGTTCCAAATTCATCCTTCAGCTTAAAGTGTGTTGCTCTTTTGTTTCTATCTCCTATCTGCTTCAGCTCTAACACTCAGAGAAAGTAATTGGCAGTCTGCTTTAAATGTGTTTTACAGCCAGTTATGCATAAACAATCAGTGCTCACCTGCCTGAAATTTTATAAAATAAGAACTTTCACCCTAATTCCAAAGTTAGTGTACAAATTGATAACATCTCAGTATGCGCTTTACCAGTGGGACTAAACAAACAAGTATGTGCCAACTGTAATAAAGGACACGGTTTGACCTTGCTTCAATTACTTTGCTTTTGTGACAAAAAAAAAAGAATTCTAGCACTTAAACTGCATAAACAATATCAAAAAGACCTCCTGAACATACAGCAAACATCATCTTATTTCCTTTAGAACTTTTTTGTACACTGATCATAGTACAGTATGTTCATACTAATTTTTCACATAGGCACTCAGATTTACATCTATTAAAATTATAAAGTTACCTTATTGGTGAAAAATAAGTCTACTGCCTAATATATATAGTTTTTCCAGTTTTAATTTAAAAACTCACTAAAACCCAAAAAAGAACAACTAAAGGAAAAAAAAATAAGATAAAAAGTAGAATTCATAGGTAATTATTATTCTGCTCTCACCAAGTGTAGTATACCTGGAAGACTCTAAAGTTTTCAGAAATGTCAATAAACATTAACACTTCAATAGGCTCCATAAGAAGCCCTTTCATATTCTCCATTTTCCCATGAAGGCCAGAATTCAAAATGCATAACTTCCTTTGGATTTGTGTTCTCTTTTCCCTGTGTCTCCCTTACTGCAGTACTTGTTGCTCACTGATTACCTAAGATCCCTCCTCCTTCATACACAAAACAACACAGGATGGGCTAGGCAAACACTGCTGCTGAGTACTTTCTGCTTTCCTATCCTGCTCCTACACTGGGATGATAATTAACATCTTATTCCTCCACCCACCTGCTGATTCTCATAAAAGCTGCAAAATGCTATGTTACATTTTTTACCACCTTTTAAAAATATATATGAAGTTGGTCAAGAAATTCAAAGACTCACACAAGTCACATGACATCATCAAATAGATCCCTTAGAATAGTTGTCTTAAGAGGAAAAAAAAACCAAAAACAGTAAAGCATTTCCCACACTATGAAATCACTTCTTGAAGTAGAAAACCTGATATTTCCAAAGTATTTATACACACAGACAAGATCTCCCTGAACCATCTCTTCTTTAGTCTGAACAGTCCTAGCTCTCTCTGCCTCACTTCATTTGAGAGATGCTTCTTTTGCTATGTAAGTTTCTGTAACATTTTTACTCACCTCTTGGTATCTTGTAACCAGTTTCCCCTGGTTTTCTCAGATTTCTGAGAATATAATCAGAATGAATATTGATTGCCATGCCAATCAACCACCCTATAAAACCTGAAGAGAAATATTTAAAATATAGTATTTAATACACTGAGACAAAGTACTTGTTGAAAAAACAGACATATATCACTTATGAGGCATATTATCTCTGAGCAGTAGTCATTATAAGCAATTCTGGTGACGTCCTCTACAATCTCAGTCGCACACTGAGCTCTTCAGCCAGCAGAGCTCACAGCAGTCAACAGGTCTCTACATAGGAACAGCACTATAAGCATAAAGTTTATTCTTACGTTGCTAAACATATAAAAAGCATGCATGTGCATATATACAGATGTAACACGCATATTTCCCTAACTTCCAAATGGAAAAACAAATACACTAAAATTTTAAATGCTGAAAGAAACAGCAATTCTCATTCCTGCCAGAGGGACGTATCTTAGTACCCTTCTATTTTCCCCACTGACAATATATCAGGGTTTCCACAGCAGACATCTGTGCAATAAAAGGAATAAAACTGAAGGAATTCATGCACCATTTACTTGTGCCATTCAGCAAAATGGTTTAACCACTTATAGCAGACTTTCATAGAAACCAAGATTGTCACATTCTGCATCCTCATCTCCTGTTGCCACAACTGCAAGAGGTAAATCAAAAGGAATTTAGGATGAAAATTCAGTATTCACCCTTCCATTTTGAGTCTTTGGCTACATGCTACCTATGTTATCTTCCTTTGAAGGCAGCATTTCTTGTTACTATAAGCAGACAAGACTTGGGTTTTGAGGGCAGATCCATGGTATTGTTTTGAATGCACCTCCAAATTTATTGATTTTTATTTAAATTACCAAGAAAATGCCAGTGATGTGCTTCGAGAACAAAGTCACTTCACAAGCCAGATAAAGTTTTGCCTTTTTGCACCTATAACTTGATTCTTTCAGGTGGTTCTCTTTCAATACAGAGAAATATGGTAGTATGAACACGTCAGCAAGACACTGAGTGGATTATCCAGATGTGTAAGGCCACCTTGCAGGACTAGTATGTTGTCAGAGAATACTTTATGAAGACTTAAGCCACATTTCAAACTGAAGCTACAGATCATAAACGTAAGTGGACCCTGCCTCTCAAACACTTTGTTAGATAGGCAGCTTTCTTCTCTCAATCCCTTGTGGGCTGCATTTATTTAAAGGACCTAGCTGTCTGGTTCCACGCAGGTTACGAGGAGCTCTGCAGTGGAGAAGCTGACGTTTCTGCATGAAAGCTCTCTCCTTATTTACCTATTTAAATAAAAAAAAAATGTTGTTTGGTTACTGTTACAATCTGCTTACATTACAAAACTAGTAGCAGAATTCAGTCCTGCAAAGAAACATGTTTCTTAACCTTTTGTTCATCCAGCACAATGCAGTAAGCTTCCATTAGCAATAAAGGTGTGTAGATGCTATGTGTACAGTATGTTTTGTAGTAAAGTTTTACCATAATCTTTTCAACTATATATTCAATGTAATTACCTCATCATAAAACAGATTAAACCAATGTAATGAGAAATTTACAGACCAATTCATATAATGACAACATATAAAACCACAGTGTAAATAATTCAAATGCTGTGGAATTCTAAATTCTACTTTCATGAAAACAGGTAATTTTCACTTTTTTCCTTCAGAACACTTCTCTGTCTAAACAGAGAACATTGAATCCTCATTGCATCCAACAACAAAAATAGTTTGCTTCTCTTAGCAAATTGATACATAATTATTAATGCTAACTGCCATAGAAGATCGAGACTACCTTGGAAAACAAGGGATGCTATCCGTACAACTAAATAAGCAAGTCTTTATCTCCACACAATAACTTAAAAGGAAATTTCTTAACAAGCACACAGATTAATTCTACTTAAATGTAAACAATATTTCTAACTAGTTTACTTCACTATTAGCATGAGGAAAAAAATTAAACTGAAAGTTAGTTCTAGAAAGAATACAAAATTTCTTTCTCAGAAGAGGAAATTAGAGACCCTTTGATTTCTCTGAAATGCCACTGTTATTTGCAAGAATGTTGCCTTTGTATTCTGTACTGATATCTGTCTGTAAATTAGTATATCAACTACTAAGAACTATTCAGATAATGCAAAAAGATTGGGACTTGCTTTAAGAGTGCCTAATTACTATACAAGATTAGTTTGATTCTGTGCATTTTTATTCCTCCTGCTTGAAAACTACCACACATCAGAAGGAAACAATCCCTCTTCATCGATAACAAGCTGATGAATGTAGGCGATTTTTGCAGCACCCCCCCTTTGATCTGAAGATCCATTTTCCCCTGAAGTACCACATAACCACATTTCCTTCGCCTATACTGTGTGGACATTGTGCTTCATTGCCCTCATCCTCAGATTTACACCGTGGCCGAGGCCTAGGACTGAAATCTACAAACCCAAGAGCTGGCTACACATCACAATCTACATGACTTGGCTTCCCTCACAGGGAAACAGATATATGTGTCCTGGTGAAGGGAGCCACAGTGTACTCCAGTAGATTCTTGGAATTATAGGATATACCACACAACATAGATGACCTCACAACAGTATTAAACTCAAGAGGTTTTTCTCCTTCACCAGTATAAACTTGGAGATTAAAGCCTGAGTTTGTACTAGAACATTTGCACAAGAAGGACTGTAATTAGGTCTGTATTACCAACCTAGTGTAACAGAAGACCATGTGTGCATTGTTGCACCAGTCCCTCTTCACCCTTTGCCCATAGATTCTCAAAGATCTACTCTTGTTCTGCAGGCTATTTCAGAGTGTGTTTTGCCAATGACCAGGCCCAACAAAAACGATACCACCACCAGCAAGAAGATGAACCAATACACAGACTGTATTGTAGACAAGAAGGACATTCCATGAATGATCGCTGGGGGTACAAACAGATCAATCAGCTGGTACATAATTGACACTACCCCCAACGATCCCACAAAGGACATAACTCGGCCCACAACAAGTGGTACAAACAGAGACCCGAGGTTGCCCACAGTTGGCATGGGAAACAGCCAGACCAGCAAGCTGAACACATAAGAGAAATGTGCCCACATGGTGACTCTCACCCAATCAGCCCGTGTTTGCAAAGGTCTTGAGCAGACGGGGGCCCAGCTCCAGGGAGAGTCAGGAGGTCTGCCCTGAACCAGGAAGCTCTGGGGAGTGCACTCCACAGACAGACACTCCTGACTCCCTG